CAAGTCAAAAAACAAAAAAAAAATCAACTTCGAAGAGCGATCTACTCCAAGTTTTGAAGCAAGAGTGGGCGAAAATTCCACAATCTAAAATTGACGAGACGATTCTCACGATGCCACAAAGGATCAACGAACTCCACGAAACGAAAGGAAGATCTACTAGATATTAATTAAATTATAAATATATCAATTCATATGAATATGACTGAAAATTTTCATTTTTTCTGAAAAGGTGGTGTCTATTTACTTGTGACCACGCTGTGTACATGGCAGTATTACACTGTCATGTAGTCAAAAATTCACTGTGGATCAAATACAGTGCCTTGCAAAAGTATTTATCCCCTGCCAATAATGTCAAACTTTGATGAAATACAAATGATGTAAATGATTTGTTAATGAAATTGTTTTTATTCTAAACTCTAATAGCCAGACTTAACACTGCTACATGTGAAGGAGGTTGAATATCAGCAAAACCTGCAAAAAATATATAAATTAAAATTTGTTGATTACATAAGTATTCAGACCCATAAATCAGTACTTGGTGAAAGCACTTTTGTCAGCAATTACTACTGTGAGACTTTTTGGATAGGTCTCTACCAGCTTAGCATAATGGGATGGTGTAGGTTTGCCAATTTTTCCTGCCAAAATTACCCCTGACAAGTTCGTTGGGGATCGTTGATGGACTGCAATCTTCAAGTCTCACCAGAAATTATCTTTTGGATTCAAGTCAGGACTTTGACTTGGCCACTCCAGGACATTCACTTTCTTCTTTTGAAGAAAGCCCGAATCACTATCCTGCTGAAGTGCGAATTTTCAACCCAGTTTTAGATTCTTGGCTGGCTTAAGCAGGTTTTCTTCTAGGATTCGCCTGTACTTTGCACCATCCATCGTCCCCTCAATCCTGACAAGCTTTCTAGTCCCTGCAGATGAGAAATATCTCCATACATGCTAACATGATGCTGGCATCACCATGTTTGACAGTTGGGATGGTGTTGACTGGGAGATGCGCTGTGTTGGGCGTGCGCCAGATGTAGCGCTTTGAATTTAGACCAAAAAGCTCAATTTCTGTCTCATTTGACCACAAAACATTCTGCCAAATGTCTGCAGTATCATTTACATGCTTTATTGCAAACTTTATAAGAGATTTAAGATTTTTTTTTTCAGTAGCGCCTTCTTTCTGGTCACTCGCCCATATAGGCCAGCTTTGTGTAGGGACCAGAATATTGTCGATGTACGAACACTGATTCCTATCTCTGACATGGAACTTTGCAAATCTTTCAAAGTCACTGTTGGCTTCACAGTAGTAGCCCTAATCAGTTTCCTGCTTGCTCGGCTGCTAAGTTTG